GTTCTTTGTGTGAGCGTCTTTAAGAAATATAGACGCCACAGGTGAAGCGTGCATACGAACAAAAACTATGTTCTACGTAACCTCCTCTGCCTTTGCCCTTTTTCCAGCCCAGAAGTATCTGTCTTGACAGCTATGACCTCCGGTGCCCTAGATTAAACAAATGTGATCCTATCCAGGCTTGTTTTCCCTAGAGAATTAAAAAACAACAACAACACAGCTTTAAAAATGGTAACACGTTTGTTTACTCCCTGTTGCAACCCTAAGAAGTAGTGAAGTAGGCGGGGCTTACCTCCAGCTGCAGAGATGAGGAAACCGGAGGTTGGAACAAGATCACATAAATCACAGGGCAGCACCTGGGACTGACGAATTCCGTTCTAGAACATTCTGCTCCCCGGAAGGCAGGGGTAGACGACCACGCGTAAATGTGTTAATAATCTTTCTCACACATATTATACTGGAGGGGGGGAACCTTGTGGGGTTTCTAGTCTAGTGGAAAAAGCACGTGTTAAGGAGTCCATTGATTTTTATTTTTGAGTGAAACACAATGGGGATGGATGCCAAGCATGGTCACGTGGTACCCAGGGAAAGACCCCGAGGAAAGCACTTAAAAGCCAGATGAGGAGCTGGGGAAAAGCAGGTGGGGAGGCAGGGTATGAGGGAAGGCTGTGAGGAGTTCGGTATGATGGAGAGGCTGAGGGAGGGAGGCGCAGAGTCAGTGAGGTACACATGCAGGCTGGAGACATGTCTGTGGGGGCCTCCTCTCCCGGGGGAAGGATCTGCTATTTTATCTTCGGTGCTGCTGGAGGATTATACTGGACTGTGAGTTTTTTAACGTTTTAAACGACGCATTAAAGACTGTGCAGTGGAGGAGGGAGGGAGGAGGGATGGATGTGAGTGTGCTTCTCGAGGGTGTTTTGTGGCTCGTTGAGGCCACAGTGGTAGACACCAGCTCCCATCTCACAGGCTGAGAGAGCCAAGGTTGTTCAGGTTGCTCCTTGCTCTCAGCTTAAAGGAGAAAGGTGTCTTTAAAGAACACTGCGTACATGAGTGAATCGAGTTTGGCAACAAAACCCATGCTTATTGCTCTTTGCGCAACTGGGCTCTGTCCTGGTGGCGGAGCTAGAATCACCCACATAGTGGGTTGACTCCTGTGTAACCCTGAGCTTGGATGCTGCATCCATTCAGAACCCCTTAGTGCTAGCAAATGCCTGACTACGGTGACAGAGTTAATCTTGACACCTTGACCACAAGGTACAAAGACCGTCAGGACAACTCCATTCTCAGGTGGGTGGCAGCTTCGTCAGAGCCCTCTGAGGAGTCTCTTGTCCTCGGGATGTTTATTTTTAAAGCCTGCTATTGTCCCCCCCCCCCACACACACACTTCCTTTGTAGTGTTCTTATTAAAAAAAAAGCTCAGATGATTATTCCCCTGGCCGGGTGCCAACATCCCGGCTCACTCCTTTCAGCTTCCTGCTGAGGTAAATAAAGAAAATGTCTTTTTCCTAAAATAAAGAGCCAGCAGGTGCCCTTAACTTCTGAGGACAACCTTGAGTTTCTAGCTCTGTTTTATAGGCCACAGCCTCCACTGTCCCTGGCCAGGAAGGGCCATCCTGCCCTAGGCAGTTTCTTCTATCCAGTTCCATCATGTCTGTCCTGGTGTTCTTTGCTGGTGACACCTCCGGCTCCTGTGAGGACTTTGTCCCAGGATTTCACGGAGCATCTCGTTATTAAATGGCATGGAGAACTTTCTAACCTGCCACAGCTCTTGGTAGCCTGTCTAAACTATAACAAACAGATAAATTTCATGGAAGTAGGAATTGCGAAACGAATGTCTGAGCGACTCTGGTGAAGTGAGAGTATAAGAATGAGGAAAAACAAGCTGAGGGGCGCCGAGAGGCTAAACATGTTCATTCGTGGATCTTTTCATCAGTGACAAGTGTTTTTTGTTGTCAGCCCTGGGGCCTGAACCAAGCCACGAGGTGCAGGACGTTTCTGAGGAGACAGCCTGCTCATGCAGTGGGCCCTGGAAGCAAGCTGTGGGAACCGGGGATAAGCTGTAAAATCATGACTCTCTCTGTCCCGTGGAAAGATGAGTGCAAACGTTCAGAGTACTTTATTTACTGCGGGGATGATGAACGGAAGAATAAGAACCCTGGGCTTGGGCGACTAGGGAACCAGCATGCAAGAGAATGTAGTCTGTTGCCTAACCCTCTCGACTACCCCTGTGATGGCAAGGTGAAGAGGGTTCAAGAAGTTCCCTTAGTGGAGTTAAGTCTGAGTTTGTTTCCTTGGCACGACTGAGTGCCCACTCAATGCTCAGCAGTCTGGTAATGTGTAGAGAGCACACTGTATTGTCCATGTGATAGTCGTGAGTCACATACGGCTCCCTGAACAGAGATTAATTTCAATTAAGTAAAATTCTAACTCGGTGCTCAGTCACTTAGACACCTGTCAAGGGCTCGCTGGCCATCTGTAGCTTGAGGCTACTTCAGTGGACACCATAAGAGCGGACAATTTCTGCAGCACAGGAAAGAGCGCTGGGCAGTGCTTGCTGCTTTGGAAATTCCTAGCACATGGAAGGAACTGGTGTGTCATGCTGCACCAGAACGTGGTCTTTGGGGTCAAACCTGAGTTGGGATCTTAGCTCCACCACTTACTTCCATAGCCCGGTGGCAGGTTGCATGGCCCATCTGAGCCAATGCTTTATCCTCTGTCAAAATGGATGAACGATGCCTACCTCACTGAGCTAAAATGAGGATTGAAGGGTATCCGTGATCCCTATGCAGTCATTGCTCAAGACGGTGTCTGTTGCCGTCCTCATCATCTTCCTCAGATATGAGGGATTTCTATTATCCAGACAGACATTTCATAATCATAAAGTTCTGTCTTCGTCTCTGTAATAGTTCTGAAGATAGAGCTGTTTTCCCTATATTCCTTCTCTCTCTGGTAGTCACCAATTTCCCCCCAATGATGTAAGTCTTCCAGAACCTGGGTTTGGAGACTGTGGTACCCTCCCCTTTTTGATGACTACAGTAGTAAAGAATAAGCCACATATACACTATGATTGTTGACTTTAGTACAATTTCTGTTTGACTAGGAAACATGAATGACTGAGGCAGATGAAAGAAATGGTAACAAAATTCTTCCTGAGGGTAATCACAAGAGAGTTTCTGCAGTGACTTGGGGTGTATCTATTTAAGATATTTCCATCAAGAACCTCATTATTATAACGCGTTTTGTTGCCAGCTGAGTCCTGAAGTCCATGCTGAGGCACTGAACTCATGGTGGTGAGTGGTATTTCATTTCCTGGGAAAAAGACACAGAGAGAAAAGGAGAGGAACCAAGGAAGAGTTGGCGCCATGTGGGGTCCCCACAGACACCATGAGCAGCAGAGTGTTGGTCCAGGGTTGGCAAGAAGGAAATTTGGTTCAGCACAACTCAGGAGCTGATATTGCTTCAAACTTTGAGAGTCTGACCTGGAATAGGTTCTTCTAGGCACAGTTAAGCATCACACAATGCCCTGGTGATAATTCACTCAGTCCCTGTGCACAGCAAAGTTGAAAACATGACTATATTGAAACTCCTGTAAAGTACATGTAATATTTTCCATAAAGACAATATCATTCATTTTTTAATTATAACCTTCAACTCTATTGGGTATATTTTTTTCTTCTTCACTGTTGTAATTGTTACTTTTGAATGCCTTACTGTTAGAAAAATAAGTTCTCCTCAGCACATCAAACTCCATCCCACTCTCCAAAAAGAAACCAGACTACCTCCAAGGTTATTCTTGTGTTGTTATTGTGAGGATTACAGTCTTTCCCTGGAGATTGGTGCATGGACCATCATAACAACATCTTGGGTGGGTGCTGAAGATGCCAGGTATATTCTCCACAAGTACTGCCTTCTAGATGGGCAGCCATAGCCTGAAGAACAGTGTTAAGAGTGAGAAAGTATTTGTTCTGTTTTCCTAACAACAATGACATCCTTGTAGACTTTTCCTGTACATCAGGAAAATATGAGGAGCACAATCCTCCAGTCACTGAAGAAAATGGAAAGCTAGGTCTCTTGTGGTGTGAAGAACACCCCTGAAAGCAACCTTTGCACCCTGCTAGCCCTTCGGCTCCAACGCTATCCCTTTGGAGTTGCCTCGTAAGAGCCTCTCCTTCTCCTGCCGCCCTGGACTCCAGGCTTTGCACACAGCTGTGGGACAACTCGTGTTAAAATGCAAATTCATTTTCCATGGTGTTCCTTTGGCTTAAAATAGGATTCTCAGCTTGGAAGTCAGGCAGGGTAGAATCAAAACCTCCAAATGACAGCTTGCTGGAAAGTTTCTCAGTCTGTCCCATCCCCCTCTCCAAAACTCAACTAGAGAGCGTTAACTGACTGCATTTGTGTAAGCATCTTTGATGGAGGGAAAGTGCCTCCAGGGACTGGTGCCTCCTATCTGTAATAGAGCTATCCTTTCAGACGAACCGCTGAAGACCAGGCAACATTTGCTTATTTTATTGTAGCTAAGACTGTTTGAAAGTGGATCTAACAATGTGGCCACAAAGTCTCTTAACTTTCCAGTGCTGTGAAAACCATCTGTATCCTGTGATTTGCATGAGTGTCACGGTACAATAAGATAATTAACTTGGTTCGAGATAAATGGTTCCTAAGGGCCGGGTTGTCTCTGCTTTTGAGTGATGCTATGTAAAGATCTTGACAATGTTCAGGTATCTCTTGTAGAAGGGGGAACTCTTTCTTATGACCAACCCCAAGAAAACCAGAGGCCATGGCCATGGCCACAAGCTGGGTGGGGAATTTGTGTCCCACAGGGCTCCTGTTGCTGAATTCTGCATTTGCAATTTGAAAGTGTTTGCTGCATCTGGTAAAGTCGTGGGAGACACACCTCAGAGCTGCAGAGACAGACTCGTCCTCTTTGTTCACATCCCTAATGCTGGGAATCTGCCCGTCTACCTCGACTGTGACCTGTCCCTTCTCCCCTCTCCTTTCAGGTGTCGCTGCACTGGACTCCAACGTATCTGGAAAGATTGGCCTGCGTGCTGTGGTGTATTATTTATGTACCACCATCATCGCTGTGATCCTAGGTGATGCTTATTTCCGCCTCCTTCTTCCTCTCTGTGAATGTAACTCTGTGTCCAAAAAGTAATTGGGCTTTTTAGAACACACATTTTTCAGCCAGAAAGTATACTGTCAAGTCTTTTCTGCCTTCGAGTCTGCATAACACTTTTTATGTGAACAAAATGCAATACAAGTAGAATTTTGAGAGAGAAAGTAACATTTCTGTGCCCTGTTAGTATCATTGGGTAGAAAGAAGAAGGCCAAGAGTTTATATAACCTTAAAACAGGTAATTGACTTAGAGCAGTAGAATATAATTAGAAGGCCTTGAATGTCTGGAAAGCTCTCCTGCAGAACATATCCTTCGGAGGTAGGATGAAGACACAGGACAGTCTGATGAAAGTCAGACTTTGTTGCACCCTTTCCAGGCAGGAGGAGGGGAGCATGCTAAGAAGAAAATGGTGGCTGTCCCCATCATAGCATGGTCTTATGTTTGAAGACTTGGTCCAGCTTTTGTAACCCGCGCAACATTTTTAAAAGGATGGGAGCCCAGTGTGGGGAGAAAGGAAGGAAAGGTTCTCCAATACTGAAGCCAGCTTGACCCCGGAAGCCCAATTTAATGATCTGATAAATGGTTGGATGTGGGGGTAGTTTTAGAGGTAACTGATCAGGCCCAGCCAAATGGCCTGGGTGGTGGGGTTGGGAGACGTGCTGGGGGATGAGGAGGGTACTGAACCCCACTGTAAACCAAAGCCACTTCTCAAAGGGCCCTGAGCAAGACAGACATACAGGGAAAGTAGCAAAAGGAAAGCAAGATGATACTCAGTGGGAGACCACAATTCAGGCTCTCGTGGCTGGTGGCGAGCGTCCACTGGCAGAAGGCGGAGTATTCTGCATCCCAAAGCCCTACCCCCTCCCATTAACATTCCCTCCTCGTGGAAGAGGAGTGAGAAAGAGCACCAGGATATCTTTCTTCTCTGCTCCCCTCCAGGAAAGCCATCTCTGGTGCCCACATCTTTCCCATAGCTCCCCACTGCTGCTTGTACACGTCAGGAGATGGGCGCTCAATGCCACCATAGTCTACAGTTGTGCGCTCAGGTGCTGTAGCATGGGGACAATTGCCAGCAGCAAAATGAACCCTCCCTGAACTCCCGTCCTGTGTCTTCATCTTACCCCCCCCGCCCCCCGCGAATGAGAGCTTTCCAGATATTCAAAGCCTGTCTAAAGCAGGGCCTTTTTCGTGTGACCCTTAGGAGAGTGTCCCGTATCTACAGGTGGAGAGAACAGAAAGGCATCAAACAAATGGAGTGCCTTTACTTCCAATCCTTCTGTGGCAGATTTTGTAGACTGAAGAACGGCAGAAAGACTGTTCCCATCACCAGATAGCAATTCTAGGATGACACTCCTTCATTAAAAAGAAAAACAGGAAGACGTGTTACCTCACGTATTCACATCAGGTGGGGTCTGAGGTTAAGGTAGCAGTTAAGACTTAGTGTCTTGTTTGGAACTTGGGGCCCTCCATGTCACAGTATTGCCTGTACCACTGTGTCAGTTGGTTCTCTAAAGACCACCCCAGGGTACCAGATGCCCTGGAAGGTTTTAATTCTCTTTGGACACTGTCCTTGGTCACAGGCATTGTGTTAGTTGTGAGCATCAAGCCTGGTGTCACTCAGAAGGTGAATGAAATCAACAGGATGGGCAAAACCCCCGAAGTCAGCACAGTGGATGCCATGTTGGACCTGATCAGGTGAGTCTTGCCGACGCTTGACGCTTGACTTCCTGGGCGTGCTGTCTGTATAGCTGCCCCGTGGGGGATTTAACGCGCTGATGACAACATTTGTGTGTGCGTGTTAGATGTATGTATGTGTCATGCACATCTGTGGAGCTCAGAAGACATCGCCAGCTGTTGGTCCTCCTGCCGTGTTTAATACAGGGTCTTTTTTGTTGGCTTTGTGCTATGTATGCCAGCGTAGCCGGCCCTCAAGCTTCTGGAGACTCTCTGTTGAGATTATGAATATAGGCTACTGTGCCCAGCTTTACATGAGTTCTTGGGATTTGAACTCAGCTCTTTATGCTTACAAAGCAAATCCTTTGCCCACTGAACCATTGCCCCAGGTCCAATGTCTTAACATTTTTAGTAATTTGTAAATTATCATGTATCTTCATTTTGCCATAAATCCTACAAATTACGTAACCAGTACTTTCTACTTACCAAGCACGGTTCAGAAAGCAATGCATAGAACAGGGTCCTGGGTGAGGACTTAGGATGGAGAGAGATGCGAGCAATACCCCTGTTACCTAAAGATGCTGGGCAGAGCTGAGTGGCCACTTCTGAAGGTTGCTCAGAGAAATTCATATTTTTATTGTCCAGAGAAACCCTTTTTTCTAGAGCGGTTAGGACCACAAACAAGTTGATACTGCTTGAAAGTATCAACTCAAGCAGAAACAGATATGAAAAGGCATTACAGGATGGATTCGTATGTTTTTTTTCCACATCCCTGTCTCATTGGTTTACGTATTTAGTTTGGTAATTATGATAGAATTTGCAGATAGAATTAAGTATTCAAGGACAACTACGACAGACAGTTATAAAAGTGGAAGGATATAGAAAATCCAGTACCTGCCTCGACTGTGGTGTCCATCTGCCCGTGCAGCATCTCCCCAGGAACAGCAAGGGTGTCACTTAAGTAGTGGCTGGCCACGGGAGACTCCAGAGAAAGGAGATCAATCTTAATTCAAGGAGCACCCATCCTATGCTCTTCTCAATTCTATGGATTTAGAGAGTTGACCAACGCAAAACTTGTTTCCCCAATATAACTGTGCCTTCCATGTCTCCAACAGGAACATGTTCCCTGAGAACCTGGTCCAAGCCTGTTTTCAGCAGGTAACATTAATAGCTTTGGTTCTTGAGCTGCTTCTATGTTCCCATGACCCACTGTGACGTCATTGTCAGTTGTAACACAAGAAACAGAATTAGCCCATCAAAACTGACAGCAGAAAGTACACCCATGAATGGTGGGGTTTCAGATGACTCCCGTCTTTTGGGCTGTAGTGAGATACATGCCACAATTGACCGTGTTCCCTTCTCTTTCCCTCAAATAGAGAAAAGCAAGAACCAACCAACGTGTTATTTTTTATTCGTTTGTATTTTGGAGAGCCGTGCTCTCTCTGTACAGAACTTGGGCTTCCTGCAGATGCAGTGCAGTGGACAGAAGAGCTTCCCTTCGCCTCTTTCCCTTCCCCCTCATCTTGACTATCTGTGTCTAACCCACACCGTGGTGGCCAGCCCACCCAGAACTGGCTTTTTTCCTTAACCAGTCGGTGTCTGCTGCTGGTGCTCTGCAGCAAAGCCAGGGGTGTTTTTAGATTCTTTTTCTCATGAATGTTAACCCTTGTCTTCACACCACTGAAATTTTCTTTCCCGTTTATATGGGCTCCTTAAGACAGCTGAGTGGATCACAAACTGCTGTATTCATTTACATAAATTACGCAGACAGAGACCTCTATATATACTAATAAAAATGGCAGTTAAGTTGCTCTCCGTAACCCCCCCACTAGGAACAGAACCACCACTATTTAAGGGGTACCTTTGCAGCTCAGCCACAGTGGTTGTTTGTAGGGTTCAGACTTGGCACAGATTCTGCATGGGGGACCTTTGTTTCTTGTATCGAATCTAGTAGCTTTTTTTCCCTCAATCTACCATGACTGAGGCCTCACAGACCCAAACAGGACTGAAGGGAGAAATTCAACAGAACACCCACTTACTGCATAGCCTGGAGGACTGCTGGTTTGGGCACAACCACCCAGCTCTACCTTGCTCGGCACTTATTAGTCATCTTGACTATTTTTGCCATAGTGCTAAGGTTATTTTTCCAGATTAAAAACGATCAATTTGTAAAAACAAAAATGGTTGTCAGGACCCTCCCTACCTGTGAAGGCACCTGCAGATAAAACCTGCTTCCTTTTACATTGTTTCTCCATTCATTTTCTCCTTTTACAAAAAAGGAGAGAACGTTCTGGTATTGTTGAAAGGCAGCGGTGGGAGTCTGGGGTTTGGGCTCTTAGATCCCATTTGTAGTCCCAGTGCCTCCTGGGAAGGATCATCAAAACCCAGAAGCAACTGAGGCACCATCAATAGAACCCTTAGGTGACAGTTATTTGGCCAAAATAACAACCCTGTGGTATAGCCTTGGATGCTGAAAAACAAACAAACAAACAACCTTTTTGCTTAGTGTGCCTTTGTTTTTCTCCCACATGCAGTACAAAACCAAGCGTGAAGAAGTGAAGCCTGTCAGTGATCCTGGGGGGAACTCGACAGAGCTGTCTGTCTCCGCGTCTGAGGTACCGTCCGCCACCCCCACCCCCTTGCCAGCTTGCAGGTGCCAGTGTCGAGGGGCAGGAAAGAGAAAGGTGGTCAGTCTCCATTAGACACACAAACCCCAGCTGTGTGTTTACCGCTTCTCCAAGCATGTCTGTGGCCCTAAAACCATGCTTACACTTCTCCGTGGTCCCTCAAGAGGGGCGTGAAACTGAGTCACCCACAGTATCTCAGCTCCAGACTGAGGCTGGATGAGGCTCCGATACAGCTTTTCATTATGGTTTTCACTCAATAAACAGATAGCCATTTTTGGCATCTGTCTTATCCCACTTTTATTCTCCTCTTGTGCATTTTCTTGGGGATTTTGCTGCTGTTTTTCTATTATTATTATTTTATTTTGTCCTGTACTGCACTGAGCGTCTCTTGCCCTTGCTCTTTAGTTATGGGTGAGTGGTAAGTGGTACCTGGGATTGAACCTTGGGCCTCCTGCTGTACAGGCAAGTGCTTTCTTTACCCTGCACTCTCTGAGTTTAATGAGTACTTTGTGATAGCGGCTGTACTTGCAGGCCCTCACACACTCTCACACACTTTGCTCATAGTCACCCCCATTCTCTTCCCTGTTCTGTCCTCCCTAAGAGCCCGCCTACTCTCATATGATAACATATTTATGTGTGTGTGTGTGTCACTGTACTGCTGAGCTACGTCCCAGCCCCATAGACTTTTCAGTCTAGAGTCCATGCATAAGAGAAAGCTTGAGATAGTTGTCTAACATATTTTGTTTCAGTTCCGTCTGTGATTTTTTGTCCCTGCAAATGACATCATTTCACTCATCTTTATGGATGAATCAGATGCTGCTCTGTATATACACTGTATCTCCTCCATCCATTCATCTGGCAGTGAGCACCTAGGCCATATCTTTGCGGCTGTGGATGTTGCAGTAAAACATCAGTGTGCTCTGGGGACTTCGATGCCTTTGAGTGTGTGCCCAGAAGTGGTTCTGCTAGATCATATCTGCAATGCCTCTGCCAACCCTTGTTTTCTTAACAGCATTCACCACGACTGGTGTAGGAGGGAATCTCAGTGTACTTTTAATTTGTATTTCCCTGATGGCGAAGGATATCATCTGCTTTTCATATATTTATTGGCTATTTGTTGATTTCACTACATAAAACGGACAGAAGCATAATTAATAAAATGCTCCGTGATGTTTCTAAGCACAAAAATGCTGTGATGCACTTTGCAAGGAAAATGTATATTTTGAAAAGGCTTTACTTGGGCATGTCACAGTCCTGTTAGCTGTGAATTTCATGCTAGTGAATCAACAGTGTATACAGAAAGCCAGACGTCTCTGAACAGAAATGCACATGAAACAGTGCCGTACCCTGATTGTTTGGCATAAACAATGTGACTAGGCTAGTGTACTTCTTGGTGGAATATGAACATGGTATTCGTAGGGGCTGTCTGGAACATGGCTACCAGGAATAAAGAGCATCAACTACTCACAGAAAGAAAACGATGAGCCTGGTCACTGTACCTTAGGCCTTTCATACACTTGGGCCCCTTGGGGACTGCTTGAGGTTTGCAAGGCTGTAAACACAGAATGAGGCCTGTGGTTCCTTGCTTGAATCTCCCTGCCTGTATGTGATTCTGAGTCCAGACCATTGTGGACTTCAGGAGGGCCTCACGGCTGGTGAGTAGTAGGTGCCTCTCTAAATGGGGTCCAGCACCACTCCAGATCAAGAACCACCAATGTCTGTGCAACAAACTCATGAATGTTCCGCTGAGAAAGAAACACAGTGGCCATTTATCTCCATTCAGGATAGACCTCGCCACCAGAGGAGTAGACCATGAAGTTATCAAGAAAATCAGTAGGCTTTGAGATCTATTAAGAGTTCAAAATTGGAGAATCAAATTTGTGGGTCTGAAGTGGCATGTATGTTATCAGCTCACAGTAGACTTCCAGTCCCAGACAGAATATTTGTTCTGTGTTTGAGGTGGGAAGGGGAATTGAGGTGAGATGGGGAGGAGGTAGGGAGGGAGAAAAATAAATGACTGATTTATGGAGAAGAATATTCAGTCAGCTTAGTAATTACATTAAAGCTGGCTGTGATGGTACATGCTTGTAATCCTGGCACTCAAGAGGTTAAGGCAAGATCCTGGGCGACTGAGGGAGTTCCTGTCTAAATAAACGAATAGGGACCTGTAGAGATGGCTCTGTGGTTAAAAGCACTTGCTGCTCTTCCAGAGGACCTGAGTTTAGTTCCCAGAATCCACACTGGGTAGCTCACATTGGGTAACTATCTGTACTCCAGCTCTAGGGGACCTGATACCCTCTTCTGGCTCTATGGGTACACACACACACACACACACACACACACACACACACACACACTCAGACAAATAATAGCAAATAACCGAATAAACATAATTTAAATTCAATAGGCCATCATTGGCTCTCTCTGTGTCCAGACTTCTTCTGAGTTTTTCCAGCTGGCCTCCCAAGGTAGGAGGCTTTCTTCCATCCAGATCCACCTTTGCTCTTGCTCCTCATTTGTGTCTTTTGATAAGATCCCCCTACTTTCTGAGCGCCCTCTATATTGGAGTTGCAGAGGCACATTGGGAGTAGAATCGTGGAGGGACACATATGACTCCTGTCCTCAGGCAAGGAGGGACCGAATGTCATTATCAGAAAGACCAGGATGCTTGGGGAGCATTGGGGGTCAGAAAGGATGAAGACTCATTGAGCAGGTTACAGAGGCCTGGTGCATCACAACTTCTGCCTTTCTTGCATCTTTCTTGAACATGCTTTCTTGGTCTCTTGGGTACCTACCCCTCCCCTAGCTTTCCCTAACGTCACAGACATCATTCATGTCCTAGAGCCTGTGTGACACTTGTAACTTAGAGTGGGGCTGTGTGGTTAATCACCTGCCATCTAAGTATTGGCTCAGGTTTCTCCCAGCTCGTCTGGTGTCTCCAGCTGCATTTTAAGGCCTTGCACCATAGCCTGTGCGGTTAGAACATTCTAGCTGTTTCCTAAGCATTTGTTCTGTCATAAATAAGTACCCCGCTGGCCCATCGGCATAATTCTTCACAGACCTGGTCTGCACCACACAGATTTTGTTATCTCTTAGTAAATCCCACACTATTTTTTGCTCAGAAAGAAGTGATGAAATGATTCATAGTCTCAGATGTCTGGCCAGTTTTCATCTCTTTAAAAATCCTGTTGGTCACATCAGACCAAAGACAGTGATGAATGTCCCTCAGCTTCATTATCAGGAGGGAACAGATGGTATAATGTCCTCGAATGTTCATGCTGGTAAACACATGTAGTTCTTGCATTATTAATTTCTATCTTAAAAAAAAAAAAAAAAAAGAAGTCTCCAAATGTAGCTAGTGGTTAACCCTGAAAAAGGCCCTGATTACAAAATTTATAAAAATTTGTAACATTGCAGCATTGGGATTTTTCAAAAGACATGTGCACAGATGGGCTTCTTAAGAAGAAAAAACGACCCCGTAAACTTCAGTGGGGGAGGGAGGACAAAGCATTTCATATATAGGCTTGCCCGCTGTCGTATTTCTTACATCACTCTGATTTCCCTTCATGCTTCTGTACATTTTCTCGGTTTTGATCCACAGAACAAGACAAAGGAGTACAAAATCGTGGGCCTGTACTCAGACGGCATCAATGTCCTGGGCCTGATCATTTTCTGCCTTGTCTTCGGACTTGTCATCGGAAAAATGGGAGAGAAGGGGCAGATTCTGGTGGATTTCTTCAATGCGTTGAGTGATGCAACCATGAAGATCGTTCAGATCATCATGTGGTGAGCTGCCCTGACAGGCGCCATTTTGCTCTACCCGATGACTGCATCTCAGAACTGGGAAGAGGAGGCTTATGTTCCTCAGTGGGTCCTTCCTAGAGAAGGCAGACGTTTAAAACCAAGACTGGAGTATTACTTATTTTACAACCTACTCGAGAATTAGTCTAGTCCCGAAAGTCCGTCAGCCATTGGCTCCTGCCTCAGAGACCTAGAGAGCAACCTGCAGCTACTCTGCATTCTTGTCAGCAGGGATTTGAGGAGGTTCCTAGAATATCTTCTTAGGCCATAGAAGTTCAAAGTGTCACAGCTGTTTTAGCGTGGGCGTGACCACATCTGCATGCAGAGACCCTGTCTGTCTGTCCTGCTTCTGAGATACCCAAAAGCTCAGCCTTCCTGGGAGACTTCTTCAGCCCCTAGCTCATGTGGAATTGGCTCAACATTTTCTAATATAAATGGTAGAAACTGATAGTAAGATATCCAGTCGGTAACAACCAAGGAAGTCATTTGGTCCCACTAAAATCTCAGCCTCATCATCTGTAAGAAAATGGGATAATAAAAACCACCCCCAGGGCTAGGGGAAGACCATTAAGTGAAATGATGCGTGTAAAACACTTGCCCAGCACAAGAGGTAGCTAAATAGAGCTCCTCAGATAGGGCTGTGGTGGCCACACCCACTGCTACTGTGGTGGCCTCTAAATCAATGATACCTGAGAAGCAAGATGATCATGGCTGGAAAGAGTTTGTTCACGTGACATGAGCAGCTACGAAAGTCAGTGGGGTGTCTGTGTACCGTATGAGGGTGGCACAGGTACTTCCCGGCCTCCCTCAGCTTGGGGGGTGCCGGACTCGAAGCTGAGCCCTCGGCTTCGTGATTGTACCCTGCGGTTCTCCCAGTGGAGTGCACATGCGCACCAAGCATGCCCACGCTGGCTTGTTCCCTCCCCCGCCACCTGTCTGAGAAAGTCTCTGATGACTGCATTGTGTCTTTCCTGTGCTTGCTTTCTAGTTACATGCCGGTTGGTATTTTGTTCCTAATTGCTGGGAAGATCATAGAAGTGGAAGACTGGGAAATATTCCGCAAGTTGGGCCTTTACATGGCCACTGTCCTGAGTGGGTATGTCCGACTGAAGAGAATAAACGGAATTCCCTGCATAAACGTTAGGATTACTGTAGACAGGCCAGGGTGCAGCTTTGGTTAGATGTGGCTTTTCGCCCATGTGCAGGAAAGATGGGGTTTGAAGATAAGAGAGCGGGGCATCCAGGCCGCCCTTTAACAGCTGTACCGTAGGTGGATCGCGCTCCGCTAATTGCCAGCTCCTGGCAGAACAGCTTGGACCAGACTTTGCCACAGCCGTCCCTGGTTGGGTTTGCAACAAGAGAAAACTCAGTTGTGGGCTCTCGGGGCTAGCTCCTGTCGTCTACTTCCTTAAGAATGTAAACTAACCAAGCCGGCAAGCAAGCATGCCGCCCACGAATCCTGAAGCTGAAAGAAACTAAGAAGGACCTAAAGAAATTAGGTCTCGAGCAAGCAGGAGTAGGAGGGCTGGGTTTGGATCTGATGTTCCTGCTAGGCTGGCAGCTCCTGCTGTGTCACCAGGGTGTCACAGTGCTGGGGAAACCATCAGGCTATTCAGTAAGTGTTTCGGACCCTTCAGAAGCCATAAAACAACAGGAAGGCGACAGCACTGAGTCTGTTGCATGTTTCTTACAGCCAAGCTGTTGGCTTCGTTAAAAGGGTGGCTGGGTGCAGTGGCACATGAGCAGAGGCAGGTGGTTGTCTGTGAGTTCAAAGCCAGGATGGTCTGCTAAGCGAGTTCTAGGACAGTCAGAGCTGTCACACATAGGAACTCTGTCTCAAAAGAACAAAAAGACAAAAAGAGGGGAGGGGTTCCATAGGTTATGAATGGGGTCTCCAAACACCCAGCCAAGGAGAGAATGGTCCTATCTGCTGAGAATATGGAGGAAGAAAATGGGTAGATGGCACTGATTTGCTTCCCGCAGGCCAAACATCCAGCCTGAGCCATCTGCTCCCTTCTCGGAACCTGACTGCATGGAGACGTTCCCACGGCACAGCGCTAGTTGTTAATCTGGTGCGCCAAAAACACAGCTTTCCAGCCACACAGAAGCAGCCTGGTCCTACAGCATGAGGGTCAGAGTTGAATTGCAGGATCACAGAGATAAGAGAGGCAGGGCTCCTACCTTCTACCAGCCCTGCCCTGGAGCTGCTGAGACGGGCAATACCAGGCTGGGGAGGGGGGCAGTGATGTGGCTGTCTGGGATAATAAGCCATTTTAGTGGGGTTCTGTTGAGTTCTTGTGTTTTGTTCTGCTCGTGTTTCTAACAGAAAACTAAATGTCCCGGCTAAATCTCTGCACTAAGAGGACTTCCTCCTCAAGATTCCTGTTTGTAGTGAGCCTTGCTTAGTCAGTCTTGCCTAACTGAACCATCAGCTTGCCGTTTGCGTGTATACACATCTGCTAGGGAGACTCATTAGTCAGCCCCATTGAAGGTAACCTATGGATTCCTACATTAAACATGCTGGAGGACAGGAATGAGGTTTATTCCTGAAGTACATGCATCTCCTTATTGTAACTCTTAGGTAGTAGACAACATTCCCAAGCATGGTCCAGAGGATGGGACGGGGTGGGCTGTGATGAAAGATGTAATAGGTTGGGGGCAGACGTGACCTTGAAAGGAGATTCAGTTCAGCCAGGGAACATGTGGGAAGGCTTCCTGGGGAGGAGGGAATGTTTATCTAAGAGGATGATAACTTCCGTAGAAGGGGGCAGAGAAGACCATCACCTCACACATAGTGGGAATGACTGCAGGGATGGAGCAGATGACGTGACCCCCGGTGAGCTTGGAAATCCAAATTTATCCACAGAATTTGCTGATAACTTTGACAAGGTGTTTCATTCGCTGAGCGAGCCTTGACATCCCCATCTATGGGGAATGGGGATGTGCATTCACCGTCAGACTACCCCTGTCTCCTTGGGTCTTTGTGGAAGTTTTAAAGATGTCATAGTTTTAAAAAGCTGATAGAAGAGCAGGATCCAGTGTGAGGACAAAGCGGGATTAAGACTTTCTCCCCTCTTGCCTGCAGGCTTGCGATCCACTCCGTTGTGGTTCTGCCACTGATCTATTTCATAATCGTGCGGAAGAACCCTTTCCGCTTTGCCCTGGGCATGGCGCAGGCTCTCCTCACAGCCCTCATGATCTCGTCCAGGTAACTAGAAGAAGAGCGTCTGGGGTGATACCTCCAGACAGTGCTGTCAGCTTTTGTCACTTGGTGAAGAGGACTCTGGCTTCTGGTTTTGACAGGCACCGTTGAGAGATGGTGGCTGTATTCTCTGTCTACCCCCTTGAATGTATTTCTCCATCCTTTTGAGTACTTCCTACACTCTCTCTGTGGCCTGACACCCAGGCAAGATTCTCACGTAACTGGGGCTAGTGGTAGGCATAGCACCCTCTGATTCCTGGACTAGCCAAAAGTACCAGCATAAGGCTAGGAAGGACCTGGGTTCAAATCCCAGAACCCACATAGTAGCTCACAACTCTCAGTAACTTCAGTTCCAGGAGACCCAACACCATCTTCTGGCCTCTGAGGGTACTAGACACATGGATATACATTCAGACAAAACACCCATACTCATAAAATAAAATCAGAATAAAATATATATTTTTTTTAATTACCAGCATGCTTTAGGAAATTTTGTTCACCTTCTGGAAAACAGGGATCTTTTGGGGTGGAAACTGTGGCCAGGCATTCTTAGACCTAAACTCTTTTCTCTTGATCCCACAGTTCAGCCACCCTGCCGGTTACGTTCCGCTGTGCGGAAGAAAAGAATCAGGTGGACAAAAGGATCACGAGATTCGTGCTGCCTGTTGGCGCCACGATCAACATGGATGGCACTGCACTCTACGAGGCCGTGGCCGCTGTGTTCATTGCACAGCTGAATAGCATGGACTTGAGCATTGGGCAGATCATCACCATCAGGTGAGGCCCGGTGGCACTCGCCGCTTGGACTGCCTCAAGCAGACATGATCCGTGAAAGGAGACCAAAGAGGACCCAGAGATGGAAGGTTCTATTGGCTTATAAGTCCCTGCCCAAGATGAAGACTGAGGGTGGGGGCGGGGGTGGGGGTGGGAGAGGCATTAGACTCATGGTACGTGAAATTCCTGCTTCAGGACATGGATAGCATCTCTGTTCGGCTCACTGTGGCCAGCAGGCACCTGCAGTGTCAGGCACAGATTAGAGACACAAGACTCGAGCGCCAGACCCTGCTCAAATGGGAGCCCCTGGTAGAGAGTGGCTAGGTACCCAAATAAATGCTGGGTCTGTGATAGGCCTCTCGGAAAATTGATTGGGGGTCACGGGGGGGAGGCACAGTGAGGGAAGGATCATCTATACCGGGAAAGAGGAAGGAAGGATTCCTGGAGGAAGGAGAAGCAGCCATGAATCTTAGATGAGGAATAAGAATTTAGCAAGAAAAAGACAAAAGCTGAGAGCTTAGAAGTCTCTCACGACTTTCTCTCAACACAGTGCCCAGCGTGGAGGGTCTAGTATAAGGTTTATCATGTCATGAACAGGTTTGCGCTTTAAGGAGATAATTAGCAGTATGATGGGAGGCTTGGACAGGAGCAGGGATCACAAACCAGAAGATCAGTAAGTCACCAAATGGCCTACATTGGTCATGCCTGAGAGTTAAGAGTCAAAGAGCCATCCATCATCTGTATTCAGGCCCCTGGGCAGCAAAAGGCTGGGTGTTTGGAGCTAATCAGAACAAAAGAAGAACAAGGAGAAAATGGCTTATGCTTCTTGGCACATAGAGTTTGAAATGCCTTTAAGAATTCTAGGGGCTGGAGAGGCAACTCAGTAGTTAAAGAGAATGAACTGCTCTTCCAGAGGACCCAAGAAACTACCATGTTAGGTAGCTCAAAACTGCCTTGAACGCCAGCTCCAGGAGATCCAATGCCTCTGCCCTTCCTAGGTACCCGTAATTATGTGCACTCGTCCACCTGTGCACATGGAAACACACACAACTGAAGTAAAAATAACTTTTAAAACACCAGAAACTTAAAAAGAATTCCAGGCGCAGACACAACTGAGCATGTAGCTCTGAACTATGAACCCCAAATCTAGGGTCAGCAGCTTAACAATGGTCAGAGGAAATATGGGTGACAAGCCAGGAGTGTGTGCCTGAGTCCCTCAGTAACACCGTGATTAGTTGTCACTGTGACCTTGGCCAAGGTGCTTGAGTTCTCTGTCTTCTCACCTGTAAAATAATAATAATGCGCACAATTTATTCAAATATTACAAAAAAGAGGGTGCTTATAAAGTCCCATTACCTACAGTGTGTCCCCAGTAAATGTGAGGAATGGGTGACTTTGTGTTGAGTTTGTAGAGGAAACTGAGGGTGAAAATCCTATTAGAGGTAGATGGAGGGAGAAAAGGAGAGAGAGGGGGAGTAGGAAGGGGATGGGGTGGGGAGAAAGCTGGCAGCATCATGGCAACCTGGAGACAAGGTTTGTTTACACGGATTAAAGTGGTCCAGCATCTGATGCCAAAGAGAGTTCCAGAGAAGTGAAGCCTGAAATTGATTAAGGAGGTGGAAGAAATTATACTGGTGAGTTTCGCTGCAGTTGCGTCCTTAAGACAGCACTGTGTAGCCACCAGCCCTGTGTGGCAGTGGCTGGCTGAGCCGAGTGGCTCAGACATGGGACAGTCCCATAGCCTGTACAGCTGTGCTGGATCATGCTGTGTTTGCATGACACACTGGGATTCTAGAAGATCCCGGGGCCGTAGTTCAGGTTCAAGTGTCCATTTACAATAAAACCGGGCCGGCTTCATTTGTGTTTCATGGGCATATGGACAGTGTCTTGGGTAATTTTATGAAGTATTTGTAGTGTGCTTCAATTTAGTCTATGATCTGTCATGTGAGGTCAGGTGTGGGTTGGTTTTTCCACTTACATTGTCACATCAGTCTTAGAGTTTGCATTATTTAGGATGTTGGGTTTTCAGATTAGGTGTCAATGTCATCATGGTGAACCTAACGAGGACTACAGGAACAGAGGCCTCCTCTCTGCTGATTTAAAGAGTAAAGAGGAAAAGCAAGATCTCAGCACTCAAAGGCTGGGTTTTATTGAAAGCAGGAGCAAGTGTGCATGAGCCCATGGGCACAGCACGCGCACGCGCGCACACACACACACACACACACACACATACACACACACACACACCCCAAAGCACACAGACAATTTCCTCTAGTAGTAAAGAAGATCCAGAACCAGAAGCCAGAATCTGAATTTTCCTGGCAAAGCCAAAACTTTCATATGTTGGAGGGTAGAGTGGGTTCCCTTTCTCCCTCAGAATTGGCTGGTTTGGGCTCTTGCAAGGGATTGAGTAATACAGACCAAAAAAAAAAAAAAAAAAAAAAAAAGACAAAAAAAAAAAAATAAAAAAAGCAGCAGCAGCAGAAGCAGCAACAGCTGATTGGGTCCTACCATTAGAGCCCCTCTACCTGATTTAAAAGTCAACACCAGACAGCTCACTCTTGAAGGAAAAACATCAAGACTTTCTCTTAAAGAGGAAGAAGGAAGTCGGCCATCTTTAATGTTTATGGGAAAGTGCATTCATCTACCTGAGCCTCTTTTCCTTGTCTGCCTACCTACCAGAGAGCCGTCAGACTCTGTTCCCTCAGTGAGCTCAGCTAGCACTGTCATCTGGGTGGCTGCCAGCGGAGCAGCAGAAGTGGTGTGGTCTCGGTGTGTCGCACAGGCGCCGTCATGATCTCTACCGGAGTTTGTCCGCACAGAAGCTCTGCAGAGATCTAGTCCCTCAAATCCCGGCAAGGAGTTGAGATTCAGAGAAACGCTTTGCTGAAGAAAGCGCTGGTGGTCAATTACCAGAATTAGGAACATGAGCTGGGTGTGTCTGACTCCAAAACCGGAGTCCAGGCTACCTCACCGCCCAGCCTCCAGTCCTGCTGAACCCGGGTGCCAGGAGAGCGCTTTGGATCTCAGAAGTGGAAAACCCTTTTGCTGACTCGGGTGTGTTTAGGCAGATGGATATATTCATGTATTTCCCCTTATCTGAAGATGGAATGTTCCGAATGTCAAATGACAGAAGTTTCATGAGCAAGGCCAAGGCTCAAGGGCAGTTTTCTCTGCCTGAATGGATTCTGAAGCCCAGCCTCAAGCTTGTTAACGTAGTTAACCAGGACAAGTTGAGGCCTGCAAGGGGGATCAGTGAGCCTGTACACAGATTGCTTCCAACAAAGAAAACCCATTGATGCATTGTTTAATTTCAACCAGCATTGAAATAAAGCTGGATTTTTCCAAAAGATAGCTCTAATGGGTTATGTAAACCTAAAACTTTGAGATATTGATACAGCCCCAGAACTAAGTCACTGTAAACTGGCAGCCGGAGCCACTGAAGGCAAATACTAAAGCCACATACTAGGCAGAGAACCTGGCCTGCTGTTGAGCCTTGAGCGGCATCTAAGAAGGCAGTGCCGGGCAGATGAATGGGCAGAATTGATTGAGAAGTCAGAGGCCTTTGGGACCCAGGGCAATATGGATCTGTGGCTAGATCCGGTGTCATCTCGTTTGAATCAGCAGTTTCTGCACCTGCATCAGCTCAGCCGCATCTGGAAATGGTACTTCGCCCTGAGGGTGAGGCCACAGCTCCAAAAAGCACTGTGGGTGTCCCGGCCTGCTCTTTCCATTCAAAGGACTTTCAGGCCACGTGAGCCTTGCTTTCTCCAGAATGGCCCGATTAAAATAAACACACCGCTGGTGAGAAACTGCATATTGCCAGGGGGGGAAAAATCCCTATGCCCTACTCTGTGAGCTCAAGAGAGATCTCGTCAAATACATGGTAATGGGGTTTATCTGGCGACCTACCCAAGACTCCAGATCTCTCTTCCTTTTGCACAAAGTGAATCTGCTGGCATGAAGGAGCAGTCAGGAATGCTTGTGCCTTGGATGAAGTCACGCAGTTTCTCAGTTCAGTGCCTTAAACAGATGTTTTGGGAAGGCAAGAGTCTTGTAAAGTCCAGAAATTACATAAAACCTGTGTAAGCACTGATTTGTCCCTTTGCCTTCGCCTCTGACATCCTTGCTGAGAATGTCTACTCTACTCACCTTCCCAGGCAACCGAAATTCCTGGCACACACTAAGTGTTCTATACATGAGTGAGCAGCTGAGACCAAGGAGGAAGCAAGCAAGTGGAGAGGGATCTGACACCTATGAAGGCATTGGATGGGTAGAGAAAACTTTGGATTAAAAAAAAAAAAAAAAAAACTTGCTTTAAAAAATTGGTAAATTCCTGCCCTGCTTCCGAGTACCTGCCGCAGTTCTGATGTCCCTTGTTGCTATTCTATACTTCCTTGCTTTAGAGTGATCTGCCAAATGTCCTCCTGCTGTGACATCCTGTTTATGTGTTAGATGGATGGATGGATGGATGGATGGATGGATGGATGGATGATACACAGACAGGCAGGCAGGCACACATCACACATGCATGAGACAGGACTGGTTATATAGCAAATGAACTCTAATGGTCCAGTAACATAACAGTAACAGCCACGGAGCCTGTGCCAGGCCTGAGGCCTTGATGTGAGAAATGCACGTCTAACCCTTTCCTGCCATTGTGTTTTGGCTACAGCATCACAGCCACAGCTGCCAGCATTGGCGCTGCTGGTGTGCCGCAGGCTGGCCTGGTGACCATGGTGATCGTGTTGAGTGCTGTAGGCCTGCCTGCTGAGGATGTCACCCTGATCATCGCCGTTGACTGGCTCCTGTGAGTTGGAATCAATCCCCCTGCCTCAGCTGGTTGGGCAGGCAGCTTCCTAGCCATGCAGACTCTCTGTTGCTGTGCTGTGCTGTGCTCTGCTCCTCGTGATGCCTAATGAGCCATCTGTTGTTGCTTTCATTTCCTTTTGGCAAGGCTGCCTGGTAACATGCTTAAAATGAACTCATCATAACTCCAGCAGGGGTTCTCAAAAGCCAGTGAGCCCAGTCAGTTCGTGATATACCTGCTGACACTTGAGGTTAGGGGCTGGGTGTGGGACACAATGGAGTGAAGGAGCCAGGGCAGGGCCATCCCCAAGTATCCCAGTCCTGAGTTAGCTGCCTAAACAAGACCTCTTGCTTCCAAATCACTGCAGCTTTCCCAGCATCTTTGGCATCCTCTGGGCTGGTGACAAGAGCAAAGGTTTTGGCATACACCTGCTTAAATCTTCTTCTGGTGTCTTACTAGGTTTAGGATCTTGAGCATGTTCCTTAACTTCTCTGAGGCCCGACTGCACTATTTTCGAGATGGGAAAAATTATGCCTACTTGGGTGGTTTGTTGTAGGGATCAAATGGGATCATATGAGCCAAGTGTCTAGAAGGGTGCCTGGCAGTCAGTACCTGCTCAACAAAGGAAAAGCTCTATTGTGATGGCAGTAATGAGGTAATGAGTCACACCACTCACCCCAGACAGCTCACTTCTAACACACACACACACACACACACACACACACACACACACACACACACA